GAGCTCAGCTCCAGAGGTATGAATTATATATCTATAAATACACTCAAAGCAAAAAGCAGGGCAGCTCCAAGGCTTAAGTAGACCTTTTATACCCCCAGTGCTCTTGGTAGTTTAAAGAAAAGAACAACTCCATGAAAGCAGTATATGTGTTACATTAAAAGGCTAATTTTTAATTAATATATGCACACTCTCTGGAATGAGAAGGCCGAGCAAACCACTGGGCGCTTTGGTATGAGATTTCCCACCTCACAGACTTCAGTTCTCTCAGAGCTCCTTCTGGTTTGGTGTTAAGTTTTTTGGGGTTGGGGTTTTTTTTGTCTACACTGTGGATGAGTTTTGCATCTATGTCACTGCCAAGGAAATGATTTTATTTGTTCCTCTTTTGTTTAGTTCTGTGGCATTGTGTTTTCAAGAGCAGCTTTTTAAAACACATATTTCTGTTCAAGATACATCTATTCCCTGCTTAGGGGAGAAAGCACAAAGTAGGTGAAAAATAAATCTGGAAAATCCTTGTGAAATCTTTAGATTGCTAAAGTAACCCTGAATTCAAAGCACACACTTTTAACAGCTGCTTAACAGCCAACAGGAAAAAAAAAAAAAAAAAAAAAAAAAAAGGGAGAAAGAAACCTATAACTACCAGGAAACAGCCTATATCATTCCCAAGCAGAATCTAAGTCTTACATGAATATTTGTTTGAAAGCCATGGCCCAAACAGGGTTGCAGCCTTGCTTTTTTCTTTCATAGAATAGAGCAATTTGGAAATTGAACCTGTAAGTTTTATTCAAGGCTGCAAAGCATTAATTTTGCAGTTGAAAAGACACCGTGAGGAGAAAAGAAAATTTGACATACATAAGACCTCTCTCAAACATATTTCTCTTCAAAATTGTCATTGTTTTTCAAGGGCTCCTCTAGCTCTTTCTAGAGGCCTAAATCTGTAAAACATTTGCCTTCTACAGCAAACCATTCAGGATCCAAATCCTGCATAAGATATTCTTGACAACCAAGTTTTAGTTTTTAAAATCTTTCAGTCTTCACCTTTAATCTGACGTGGGGCCTGGGCAAGAGGCATCACTACTCCGCCATCAAAGGACAACTGGCTCCAGGCAGCTTCCTGCACCCTCAGCCATTCTTCTGTGAAAGATGATTCCCCTACACACACACTCAATCTGCTGGTCATCAGACTCCCTCTCATGTCTCTTACCTGCAGAAAAGTCGTACCACTTACAGAGGTGCTTGCAGGGATGATATGAAAGTCTGCAATTGCTCCACAGATATTGGTGATCATATTTCTCACACCTTCCTGGGAACTTTTCAGGATTTACATTCCCTGTTATCCTTAAATAACACATTTTCTTAGACTGAGTGGCATTTTTATCATGTCATTTTTAAGGATGTTTTTATTCCCCTATAAATCACATACCCCAGGAAGTATTCATTGTGCTTGCATCCTGTTAAACTTACAGCTTCAAGTTTGCTGTGAGGTTTGCATAGATGCCTAAAAATGCAATAAAAGAGAAGCCAGATTTGATACCTAAAGTGCTTTTTCTGATTTACTGTCACACAGCCTTTTTTGGCCTCAGTTTCTTCTATTATGGACAATTAAAAAATTAAAAATCAAAACATAATTACAACCTTTTCATCTATCTGATCCACCACAAAGGTAAATGTAACAAATTAACTCCTTGATGGAGAAGTGACTCCTAAGGAAGAACCTTAAACAGTCTCTATTTCTTGAGTATGCAAGTAACCATAGTGTGAATCATTGGACAATTTGGAATAAAAACTAGTGATGAGATTAAATAATTGAATCAAAGTTAATCCACTGCTCCTGGTATGAAAGTTATTTCTCTCCTCACTTACATTGAGAGATGAAAGCTTTGTAAAACTTAGTCCTGACTCTGTCTTATTGCCTTCCATCCACCAGACTTGCTGGCATTGAAAATCTCCGTTATTTTCTCCATCACTTATGTAAAACCTGAGTTATCATAGCAAGTCTATCAACTTTACTTCATATTTCAAGACAGCTGCATTCATTTTTATAATTCCAGTAGTTTTGATCATTATCTCAAGTCCTCAATAGCAACAAAACCTATATAACTATGACCTACTTTTGAATGCAAACGTTATTGGGGAAAAAGGATAAATACATATTAAATGGGAAAAAGGATAAATACATATTAAATATAAAAAATGTCTGATTCCTTCCAGGAAATTAATCATTAGGAGGACCAAAATAACTTCTTTTTGGATGAAAGCTACCCAAAATATTGCTCCAATGGGTAGCAGATCAACTATATACTGATGCTGTAGGCCAGTATAATAGCTTTTAAGAACAAAGGCACTTCAAGGCTCCAGATGAGCAATTAAAAGCTGACAAAATTTTTTTTTTCCAGTTGAGTGTCACAGATGATGAATGCAAATCACAGATGAGTATTGCAATTGAACAGTAAAACACTGATCTTAAAAACTGTTTAAAGAAACACTATCTATCCCTGACTTTCTGGAACTTAAATTCCAGACTTATGCCATTTGTTGCAATCCTCACTTAAATTCTGTTATTTTTATACATTTTTTTGCCAGGCTCACAGATGATCTTTCCCCCAAGGCATACTCCGAGTTCATTCTGAGACCACCTGTTTGCATAGATTATAGATGCTCTACTCAAGCCATGGATAGGCCTTCTGGACATATATAAATCATATTATATGCTCTAGTTTCTGCATTGCTCAGAAGACAGCTCAGATGCGTGAGCACAAAATGCAGTGCAGCCATTTGGCAGACTCCACTGTAGGCTTTTTTACATAATTTTTTTGAAAGCATGTAGTTTAGAGACATTGATACTTATTTTTTCAGTCTCTCTGCAGTAACAAAAGAGATATATGAACATACTGAGGAAGCTCAGAAAACTAAACAACATGTTCAAATTGTCCCTTTGTATCTTAACTTAAAACTAGCTTTGCATGAAAGTATGCAAAGTACCACATTTCTTATTTTGGTGTAATTTCAACCCTGGTACCTCTGAGAGAATTCTGACTGTTTCAATTGATTAAACTGTGTCACCACTTAGTTTCCCATTAAGGAAAAGAATAAGCCATATTGCTATTTCAGCTATCCAGATTTAATCAAACTGTTAAGTACCTTTTTCAGTATATTTTATCTCCCATGTGTAATTTGTTCAAATTATTTGCTCTCCAAATACATTTAGAAGGTATTTTGATTTTAGACAATATTCCTTATAGACATTCCATAGACATTACTGGCAGAATTCAATGGGAAACAAGTGCATATAATATATAGGGTAGACTTTGAGAGAGTAGAACTTTTGACCTTGATGAATTCAGCATTGTAGCAATGCCAAACTGTTCATTAGCAGTTATTAATACATAACTAAAACTCAGAAGTATTTATTTAGAAACTACAATTCCTTTTGAACATTCCCCTTAAGCAATGGTGAGTATAAATCAAAATTTCCTATGCATTAGGAATACTTACTGAGTTGTACTCCTTTTAACAGATCTAGGTGATTCTCATTATGTTAGCTGAACAATTCAATTTATATTTTAAGCTGCTTACTTACATGGCTAGGCAAAGAAAAATTACCCAAATGAAAATCTATACACAAACTTTCAAAATCAATATAATTCACTCTAAAAAAAAATTGTTGATGACCTGTATGTCAACAGAAGACTATATAAACAGAGGTAGAGGAATTAGATAAATTAATAAGATTCCACACTTTTTTTTTTCCACAATATAAAACACTGGAGTTTTAACTACCATATACTCAAAAATAGAGGTGCAGTCACATTATGATATAGAGACAACAGAAGGCTATTACCTTAAAAGTAGCAATATTGCTGCTCAGAATCCAAATCACAGAACTGATACACTGATTTTCTTGTTTCATTTGCAGCTTATATTGTTGTAAGGTACAAATGTTACATCTATAGCTTTATTGTTCTGCTTGAAGAGGAGACCATAAGTCCACCTTGTTTTCAGCCCTCTGTAGGCAGGTAAACATCATGTTAGAAATCAGTAGAACTGATTGCAACTGTGTGCCTGTCAAGAACAAGTAACAGTAGGTGTGAAGACAATTTCTGCAGTGCAGTCCTGGGCTCAAGTGCTAATTTGGTTCATCAAAGTCCTTATTCACTTTTTTTGTCAATCACTATAAAATCTATCTTAATTTTTAATCAAATTATAGTGAATGAATATCAAGAAGAATGGAAGATGAAGATAGCATGGCACTAGTAGCCCCAAAAGATGCAAGGAAAGGGACATTCCTAGTGTCAAACAGAATGCTAAAGAAAGATTAAAAAGAAATGAACATATTGAGTAGAACTCTGTACCTTCATGGACCCAGTAAGTACTTGGTTCTTATTCCATCCTTCATGCTCATGAACCTTCCCACAATTTAAAAGCCAGACAATAATCAGGAAGAAATGGATGAATGGAAAACACCTTAGGGAAAGGACTTACATACTGCTACAGAGGGTGAGCATATCAGAATGACAGAGAAGAAATACCACTGTTATTTTAAATGAAAATAATCAGAAGAGGAAAAACTGGCAAGATGAATGGTGGAAAATAAAGCTAGGAGAACATTGGTCTATGGCAGTCTAAAGTAATTAATTAAAATAGTCTTCTAACCAAATGCTTGAAAAAAATCACTACCAAAAATTGATGACCACAGAGTCACTTGAGAGTATCTCCAAAAATAAAAAAGTTTGGATCTGTAAAAATTCAGGGTATTTCACTGTACATATCTAGCATAGGTAGGAAATGGAGCATTCACTTTACCGATGCCCGAGCAGGGTGGGAGGGAACAATGAAAGGCAGCCCCAAAAAAGTATGTAGGTAGTGTAGCTAGAGAGAGAGAAAGCTGATCCCTGACACCTTTTCATAATGCCCAGATCCTCTCTCACCCTTAAGTGAACTGAAAATGGTGCATTGTGTCATTAAAATGTACTAATCTTTTTTTTTTCTCTTTTCCATCCCAGGAGGTGAATTAGTTATCCCTCTACTTGTAGAAGACCCTTTAGATATTCCTCCTATTGCTACTCGTGCACCTTTCATTACACTTCCCCCTACCTTTCGCCCCCTCCTCACCATTATTGAGACCACCAAAGATTCCCTGTCCATGACCTCTGAGGCGGGGTTACCTTGCTTGTCGGACCAAGGCAGCGATGGTTGTGATGATGATGGCTTGGTGATATCTGGGTATGGCTCAGGGGAAACCTTTGACTCTAACCTACCCCCTACTGATGATGAAGATTTTTACACCACCTTCTCCTTGGTAACAGATAAGAGTCTTTCCACTTCAATCTTCGAAGGTGGCTACAAAGCACACGCACCCAAGTGGGAATCCAAGGACTTTAGACCTAACAAAGTCTCCGAAACTGGTAGGACTACTACCACGTCTTTGTCCCCTGAGCTGATCCGCTCCACAGCTTCGTCCTCGACTGTGATGATTCCCAAATTGCCAGCTGGCAAAATGAATAACCGTGAGCTCAAACCCCAGCCTGACATAGTCTTGCTTCCGTTGCCCACTGCCTATGAGCTAGACAGCACAAAGCTGAAGAGCCCGCTAATCACTTCCCCCATGTTCCGTAATGTGCCCACAGCAAACCCCACGGAGCCGGGAATCAGACGGGTTCCGGGGGCCTCAGAGGTGGTCCGTGAGTCGAGCAGCACAACGGGGATGGTCGTCGGCATTGTGGCTGCTGCCGCCCTCTGCATCCTCATCCTCCTGTACGCCATGTACAAGTACAGGAACAGGGACGAGGGGTCCTATCAGGTGGACGAGACGCGGAACTACATCAGCAACTCAGCCCAGAGCAACGGCACGCTCGTGAAGGAGAAGCAGCAGAGCTCAAAGAGCGGCCACAAGAAGCAGAAAAACAAGGACAAAGAGTATTATGTGTAAAAAAGAATAATTATTTATATATAAATATAGAAATACTTAATGAGATTTAACTGAGATATCAGAACCATTGCAGCGAACGAGATGATTGGGAGATATCGTTTGTGGGAAAAAGTATTGGGAAAAAATTTCAGCAGTGACTGTTAATGTCTAAGTCCTCACTTGGAGTCAGCAAACTTTGCCCTAATGTATTATAAAGCACACTTAGCGTTCTGGAGATGGCGCGCACAGCTCTGCTCTGTTAGTGAACTTGGACATCTCCAAATCTCCTCCTCCGCTGAACTTTCTGCAAAGGTAGAAGACTTCATGGCTTACTTGTTTCATATCTCCAAGTGAGTCTTTAACAATGTTCGTGATCCCTGACTGTATCAATAATTTTTCAGTTTACTTATTTAAAAAAAAAAAAAAAAAAAGGAAGGAAAAAGAAAAAATATAAACATTATTAAACAACAAAGATGTATTGAACAAACTGATCTGGCCGTGTCCAGCATACACATAACTTTTCGAGATTGGAGGAGGGGAATAAATGAGTTTGGAGATTGTTGGTTTTTTGGTTTGATTTTGTTTTGTTTCTTGGGTTGCTTTTTGTTTGGTTTCTTTGGTTACTTTGGGTGAGGGAGGGAAGAGTGGAGTGGAATGATGTGGGGGGTGACCCAGGACACGAGAAGAAATCTCGGAAAAAAAAATCCATAATAAATAAAGAGAGACTATTGCCGTATATGAATTCAAAAGCTACCCATGGTGTTTACTCTGCATATCTGGTTGTATTGTCTCTAGAATCCATCATCTTGTAGTAAGTTGTTTGCTAACAACGCAGTGACAATGTCTGATGAGTGGTGCTGAGAAAATTGTCATGGAAATGTGGTTCTCTTGGATCTGGCTCCAGTATTGAAGAGCAGATGGGTTATGGTCTGTTCTGATCAGTTATTGGCTTTATTTGAGTATAGCACTCAGTATGCATTTGACAACCAAAGTATGGTTAATGGGATTTGGAGATTCAAAAACCAATGCTTAAAAGTTATTAACTGTTCTGAACTGAATATACTGTGCAAAAGTAAAGGAGCCTTCCTCTGGGATCTGGTTCTGTGACATTGCAATGCATGCAAAAAATAATAATAAATCAGTTTAATAAAGTGATCAGAAAGACACCACTGAGTTCAACTTGTGACAAGACCAATGAACATCAGAAAAGCTAAACACTTGTAAAAGAATGCAAATTACACAGTTGTTTTGACATATAACTGTTTTTCATATGTAATATTTTAATTTTGTAGCTTGACATTTCAGATCATCTCTGTCTTTCCATTTGCCCTATTCTTCCTTTTCCTTCTCTTTTATATAAAAGAAAATAAATAAAGCTGCTGTGACACACAAAAAATAATAAAGAAAAATTAATTTAATAATTTAATATATATATATACACACAGATATATTTATCATGGTATGTTTGATGGGACGGCTGGAACGGAAGTTCTGTTATGGTCTTAATGCGGAATAAGAATGTTCTTGAAGAACAGAGTAAAAAGAAACAGACAACAAAAGCAAACCTTAAAATGTGAAGGGAGCGTGTGTTTTAGCTTTGTCACAGTTACCTGTGTCAAAAAAAAAAAAAAAAACCTGAAATTTTGTTTACATATTTTACTACTATTTTTTTGCTAGTATAATTTCTATATGGATACCCTAATGGTGTATATACTGTTTTATGGTTAAATTGAGAATGTCTTATGTTTTATTTAACTTATTTAATTTGGTTGTTTGGTTTCTACATTTTCCCAGTTATTGTGAAAAGGATTATCTTACTGTACAGAACAATAGTGAGGTGGTTTGACGGCCATGCCTATCATGTGCAAAAAAGTAGATGAGGGAGAGAGAGACAGAGTGGGAAACAACAGAAACCAAGACGGGTTGAGAGCCCCGGGATATCAGAAATGAAAACTTTTGCTGTATGCGGATGAAAACTAATCAGCTGTTTAGGTTTAGAAATCTACTCTTGCTGGTGTTTATAAGTCGCATGAATATTTGACTTTGAAGAAGTTTCATCAGATACACACACGCACATGGGAACTTAAATTCAGAAAAACAGTCTTCTCAAACACATAGAGAAGGCACTTTCATGTTAACAAATATTTTCAGTGCGTGTATGTGTGCGTGTGTGTGGTGCGTGTGTGCGTGTGTGAGGTTGAGCTTTTTCTTTTTTATTTTTTATACAAAAAAGAAAAAAAGACAGGTTTTAAAAAGGTATGAAAGCACGATTTTAGATGACTTAACTGGCCGAAACCATATAAAAGTTGATTATATCTTGATGTCTGTAAAAGATTGCTGTTCTTGGAGTCTTGGAGTCTTGTGAAATGATTTCCTGCTTTCTTTCTTCCTTTCCTTTTTGCTTTCCTTTTTTAAGTTAAAGGAAAAATATTTACACTTTCCTTTTTTGTGTAAGTTTCTATTGGACAGTTTTTGGGAACATGTGCATTTCTGTATGTGGGCTACTACCATATCCCTGTTGCTTTATGGACAACCTGGAGAATTTTTATTTGAGTTATCGTGATGTTATTGCTTTTTTTCCCTTTCTTTTTCTTCTTCTTTTTGATTCTTTTTCTTTTCTTAGTTGCAGTTTGTTTAAAGATATGCTTAGCAATAAAATGTTCTTCCCAAAGCCCTGAATCTTGCTGTGTTTTTATTTCCAAAAGACTTCAGGGAAATTCCAGACCTTTAAGGGTGGAAATATTCTGTGATGCAAGTATCCCCCATCCCACAGGAGTGTTTATCCACCAAATCACAGAATCATGTCCATGTTTGCATTCCTCTTTTAGTCCAATGAACCTTTTTTTTTCCTTTGCAGAGATATAAATTAAACTTGAGTCTGGAGTCTATTTCATACCACTTCCACCACCTGAGTTGCATCATTCTCTGTAGTACGGGTTTCAGTTATCTCAGATAAAAGCATACCTAGGACATTGACTTAGTATGCCCTTTCTTACGTGTTCCCTTTGAAGTGTGTAGCTCTTTCAATGATGTTTATGGGATTCTTGATTCATCTTTGGTCAGGAGTCAGTGGTAGATTCTTTGAGTGTTCGCCTCTTTCCAGTTAACCCCAACTACAGTACTGAATGTTCCTTGTCCTACTGGGCATTATAGTCTGATTCTGGGCATCATGCAAAATTGCCAATACCCTATCATTCAGCAAGTTGTACAGAACTTCAGTTCACAGTAGTAGTATGGCGTTTTGACAGATTCAAGCTTCCTAAGCTATCTGCAAGGTCTTAAACTGTTTACAGGCATCTGGAGTTCAGGCAAACGAGTATTTCACAGCCCTTTCATTTTCAGCCTAGGATGACTTTACCTTTTTTTTCCCTAGGTGGAATCCATAGGTCTTTTGAGCAGTGTTTCCACAAGTTTCATTTACAATCAAATTTGACTTAGGATAAAATGGTTGTTCAGGTATTGTCTGTGATTTTCTACATTGTTTTTGCTCACATTTGCACAGGCGAGAATATGTATGTGTACATACATGTCAGGTCCTTCAACTGTTTTCAGTTCTTTTGTGAATCATTATTCTGATAGATTCCCACATGTATCAAACCCACAGGTTCTGGTCTAATCTTCACTCATTTCCCTCCCAAAATCATTAAACTTCTGAGTGATGACTGGTACCTAATATTTCCAATACTGGAGCAATCAGCCGGGGTGTGGGAGATATAGATTTCAACCTAAATATCTCTTCTAATTGCCAAAAATTTCGTTATCACCAAGCAGTTGATGTTCTGAAAAAATATTTTTCTTCCTCAGTACTTCTCTCAAAACCTGTTATACTTCATATCATTATGAAATACTGTGTGAAGCAAGAAATTTCAACCTGACTTACCCTAACCCTCTGGCTGTAGTCATGCTTTTTCTCATTTTTTCTGTCATCTAGTGACCACTTTATTACTTAGGCTAAATGAAAATGTCAGAAAAGAGATTTCATTGCTGCCTAAAAGGCTTGGAATTTTTGTATGTCTTTGGCTCATCACAGAACCATAGAACTGTTGAGATAGAAAATGACCCCTGGAGATCATGTAGTCCAAGCTCTACCACCCCAAGCAGAGTCAATGGCAGTAACTTGCCCAGGACTATGTCTATTTTTGTTAATATCTCCACATGTAAATGCCACAATCTCTCTAGGCAACCTGCTCTGTACAAGCACATTCAGTGTAAACATTTTTTGTTGTGCTTCAATGAAATTTAATTCATTTGTTCCCATTTGCTTTTACCCTTTTTCTGGGTACCAGGGAAAATATCCTGGTTCTTTTTTCTTTACAGCCTCCCTTCAGGTATTCATACATATTAGTAAGAGTCCCTATAAGCCTTTGCTTCTTCAGGCTGAGCTGTCCCAGCTCCCTCAGACTCTCCATATACAACATGTGCTCCAATCACTTATTCATCTTCATGTCTTTTTGTCAGACTCACTCCAGTATCTAGAGCAGACACAATTGCCTTATCACCATATCTGAGCTAGGTACACGGCTCTTTTCAACAACCAGGGCTGGGCAGCTGCTGCTCTTCCTGCCATTTTGTACTGATAAACAACACCCCACTTACTGTGACACTTTTTGAAGATCCCTCTCTTAGGAAATACAGGCCTAGTCCTGTATTTCCAAAACTGTTCAGCATATCGCTGTTTATTGCACAGTTGCAGAGGTTCTTCACTGAGACAAGTCATGAAGATCTGAGCACGAATGGGCTTGACCTTTCCCAGCCCTGGTGTTGCAGAAAAGGACAAGTGAGGAGCAATGTAAATGCTGGTTCCTTTTCCAGACCTTTCTGCCTGTGCTTCTTGTCTGGGTGGGAGGGCAGATATGCTGGTCTCCTCTGCAGTTGCCATGCCAGGCTGTTTTTCTTCCACAAGAAGTGAGAACATTCTGATCAGACAGTTTGGTAATAATGATTAAAAGACAAATATCCTTCCTGTCAATTGCATAGTGAAAGTAACTTCAATCATAAGGTAATGATTACTCCCAAAAAAGGCAAAGACACATGAATTGTAACTAATGAATGTGACTCAACACTTAGGGGGAAAGTTAAGCATGTTACTTCTATGGAGATGCAGTTTTAGTGCTATCAGTCTGAAAGGCATTTGCAAGATCACAAGGTTCTGTCAAGGGCCCTTTGAGAACATAAAGTCATGTGCAGCTGTTGCCATTTTATCATACACCCTCCCTAGCTGCCAAGGTTGGCACTGGCTCCCTGGAAGATGTTTCTTATATGGTGGAACAAGTCACTGCTTTTCCCTTCCCACATGCAAGCGATAACAAAGAAATGGAACAGCAACAAGACTTGCCTTCCAGCTGTCAACCTCACCAGACCTTCTTGGGTTGGTAGAGATACCAGCATGAGAAGAAAGACAATTTCCTGCTGTTTGGCTCTCTGGATGGGGCCCAGGCTGAGCTCTGAGAGCACATTTGCCTAGCTGGTAATAGAAGTATTGCAGGCAGGGGTGTCATGATAAATGAAGGAGGTTGGGGTGCAAGGTCTTGGCTGATACTTACTCTATTGGTTAAAGTTTTCCCACAGTAGCAGCATCTGTTAAGAAAAAAAAAAAATAATCAGAATCTCATTCAGTTTGGTAAAACGCTGTATAGTAAGCTATTGCACTCTGTTTTCTCTTCAGACAATACACATTGCACAGCGCTATATCTCCTCTCTGTCCTCAAACAGTTCCAAATAACCCCATTTTTCTGGCATGCCTGTTCATGTTTTCCTTCACACATCAGCAAATGCAGTGCCATTCAAGGAAATTTTTTAGTAAATGTTGGTCTGCAGGGATTTGATGTTTGTGATTTGGGCACATGGATTGCATGAGAGAGGGAAAAGAGCACACTCAAGAGATTGTTAGACTGCATATAGC